AAACGTTCTCAACAGCATGCTTTTGTCTTGGAGCCAATAACCCTGGCCCATTATTTGGAACTGATTTTTCATATTTTAAATCAATTCCTATCATGCTGGGTTAAAAGCAGGATACCCAGAAGGGATGCCAGCCTCCAGGTGAGACCTGGGGATCCCCAAGAATTAAAGCTCATCTTCAGACTACAGAGATTGGTTCCCCTGGAGAAAATGGATACTGTGGGGGGGGGGTCAATGGCATTGTACCCAACTGAGGTCCCTGTACTCTCTGGGCTCCATCCCCAAATCTCCAGGAGTTTCCCAACCTGGATCTGGCAGCCCTGCCCCCCAATCCCCTGCCGATGGCAAGGGGGACCAAGCAACCCTACCCAAAAGTGAAGAAGGCAATCCTCAGTATACTGAATGTGATCCCTCAAATATCACAGAGCTTTATGAATTTTCAGTCTCGGTTCACAGATTCCAACTATCCTTTGCAAAGTGGGTTGAGGAGGTGACAATTTCCAGGGCAGGAAATGGTGGGAAGAAGGTGCTTAACTCCTTTTTAACTACCGTTGTCCCTCTGCAACATTCCTTCCTCAGACACTTTTATCCTAGCTAAGGTTCCGGTTTTCGTTTAGTTGAAAATGCTGCTCTAGGACTTGTACTGGAAGAAAACTAATCGCGAAACTAAAGTTATGTGCCTTCTCCTCTTTCTGTGGTGAAAACGGCCTTCCGCTTATCTACTATGTAAAGAGAAAAGGCAGATAGATTTCAAAAGCACATATTAGAGGCAGGACATGTATTTCTACCTTGAGATAACTCTGGAGTCTTCAACACACCTGCACTTGGAAATGCCCTATTCCTTTCAGTCCAAGTCAATGTGTTAGGGATTGAGTTGTGAGATAATTTTCCTGCTTCTACTCCACCAAACACATCTTAGAACCACTACCCTGATAAACATATGTTGCTTTTGCATAAGAGCTCCTGGAGTATTTTATCTGTAAGATAGTCATCATAAAGAATGCAATCAGCGATTTTAAAATACATTCCTTTCACCGCATATGGGGATACACTTTGAAATTTTGAAGGCATATTAACAGCAACTCGCATAGTTTGTGTATCATGAGACCATATTGCAGAATACGTAGCTGGAAGAGAAATCCTTACAGAAAGTTATTAGGCATGCACAGTGGATGCTTTCAAAGCCTGGCCATGGCAGCTACTTTGCATCGGAGCAGTTTACTTGAAAACCCTTAAAAAGCAACACAATTGATTTAAAAGACTTCAAATATAATATGAACAAGACCTTCTATGATTTGTTTCTGCTCTTCTTAGGGGTGATATGAAATACATATCTGGAAGGCATTTTGCAATTACTTTGGGGGAGTTAAAAAAAATAGCTAAGTAAAAATGGGTGAATGGGAAAGATTACAGATCCTCTGTTAACAATGTAAACCTTGCCTGGAATTTTGCAACATCCATTGGAGGGCTGTTTTGCTTTGTTTTTTAAGCCCAGCACTTAAACAGCATTTAGCTGTTCAGTGATTTGCATAGTCACCGAACATGGGAGATCTGTGAAAGGGTTAACAACCAACCTCAGGATTTTTCCAAATCTCTCTCTTTTACACAAAATAAGGTATAATACTCAGTTGCACAACAGTTGCTAAAACATAAGTCAGACTGCAATACTCAATATTAATAAAAGGAATATTAATTTGGGGTGGGGGGGCAATAGGAATGAAGCCTGCTGTTTACTTGCCACATACGTTTTTAAATCCTCCACCCATTCCAATATATTTATCCTTCTACCCAGACCTAATTTAGATTACAAACTAATGGCTTGTAACTTTTCTTGGCAATAAAATGTGGAGAATGTTAAGATTCTTAAGCTAGTGGCAACATAAAAAGAGTACCTTAAATTGAATTTTTTAAAGTGTATACTGTCACATTTTGAAATATCCAAATTTGTTTTAATTGTAATTTCTGACAATAACAATAGGATCAAGTCAGTGTTAAAATTCAAGTTTGGTCCACTGTGAATTAAAGTAGTTGAGTCATAAACTGGGGGGGGAGCCCCCCAGAACCCTACTGGAAGTGCTGACACAGACCCGTAACAATAGCAGGGCTCCCAGGGATTACTTTAATTCCAAAAGCAAATTGTGTTCAGACTTTAAGCAAGAAAACCACTAGGGAAAAAAAACAACCATTTATGAAAGCCATCTTTTTTAAAAAAATATTTTCCTTCCAAATAAAGCAGTGCATTAACTATCGATTATGTATATTGCTTCTTGGAGATGTGTTATTCCAAAAAAAATAAGGTGGAGTTTGCCAGAGGCACTCTGGCATGCTTTTTTGACAGGGTGTGTGTGTGTGTGGGGGGGGTATCAGCTCTGTTTAACTGTTTCTTCTCTGCTGTTGTGGATGATGAGCCAAAAGGGGGGGGAAAGGGTGGGGAGAGGCAGCAAACGAAAATGAGAAATGAGAAAAGAGAAGAAATAAGGTTAGCTGGTGAAAACAAGTTAGAACCAAGATCAAGAAAAAATATACTGGAGCAATTATTTCAAGCAAAGAAATAATTATGTTTAAGTCAAACTCAAAGACAAGCGATAAGGTGGGCCCTTCAGAGAACATAGTTTAGTTTTCCCGTCATGTTGACTCAGATGGGCTACAGTGAAATCAGCTGGTGAATGTGGGATGCATGAGTGAGCGAAAGTGGGCAGGAATTATTACATTTCTGAAATATAGTTTCCTTTATTTTGAAACCGTCAGATACTGTTTCTGTATGGCTGCTTTTCTTTTCTTCAAGAATGCCTCAAACAAGTCTTGCATCCAACCCAAAGGGAAAATAATTACACGCTGATTCAGAGTCAGATTATATACTTTCGGATGTGCATATGGAGATTGCTCCTGACAGTGTCAGAAAACAAACTACTTCAGAGCTCCCTGACACTGGAGTCAAACTTGATTAGGAGTGGATGACACTTTTCCATTTCTAGATGCTGTTTCTTCATTGACAGTTCTTATTTCCAAATATCCAAGTGGGAACATGAGATTCTGATATGATAAAAAAATGTATTTTTTTAAATAATAATAAAAAAGCTGATTATCATGAAGTGAAAAGCAGGTGTACCTGTGGTTAGGGATAAAAGGGGATGCTGACATTTCGCCTGTTCAACAAAACTCGCAGAAATACACCAACTGCATGTGAAATGCTGGTGTGGATTCCCCCCCCCCTTCTCTCTCTCTCTCTTTCTTCCCTATCAGCCTAACCTTCTGTGTTGATACATGAATGCTGGTACCCACTTACAGGGATGCCAGATGATCAGTGCAGAATGAAGGTCCCAGGAGAAAAGATCACATGGTTTTCTCTGCCCTGTGACGTCACCAGCAGATGGCATGGGTACCAGCTCTGGCAGTTGGCATCAATGTCACTTTTTAGAGATCAATGAGATAGTGCAGATATACACAGATCTAGACTCCAGGAGACGATGCGACATTCAGATTGAAAAGATTTGGAAGGCAAAAAATGAACATTGATTATTGAATGAGATTTTTTTAAAGGCCAAGGTAATGCAAATCAATATGTGTATATATATATATATTCAATTGGGGCTGCTTGAGTGTGCATGCAAGTGTTTTAAAGATAGAAGATAAATGTCTTGTGTTGTATGAATGCTGCATTTGCTTCTTCTGCTAGTTCATTTCATCTTAAATGTAGTTGCATACTTTCACTGATTATGTAATACTGTATGGTGGACAAGGCTCAGAGAGTTAAGCTTTTGCTGAAAGGCTAAGTCTAGCTTAGTGTTGGTATGTTTAATCTATGTCTGCTTTTAAAAAAATCACTCGCTCCCTTATTTGTGGATTTGCCTTAGTGTACTTGTTTGTAAATTTAAGAATCCTTGCATATGCTGCTTGAAAACTGAGAACAGGGCAGAAACAATACAAGAAGCAAATTGCCCTCCCCACACACACCGCTTTTCATTCTGGATTCTGAACACACGTGCACAATTGCAGTCAGAATCCACGGACTATTCCTGTCAGATATTAGCTGGAGGGAAACGTCTGTTCCTTCACAGGAACACAGATGCTGGAAGAGTGTGAGGAGGTTATAGTTTCCTTCTGATTTTTAAAAATGAAAATAAAAACACCAGTTAATTCTAACATTTTGAAGCTGGAATCCCTCCCCCCCCAAATCACAGAGAGCAAGGGAAATAAATGTATTGCCTTAATGCTTTCCCTGAATACGTTTAGTATTTCCCCTATCTCGTTTTTAATAGGAAAGAAATAATCCGTGTATCACACATTTTCATACTGATCATTAGGGGGGGGGGAGGAAAAACAACCCTCTCTTCATTTTAATTAAATCACTGAATGATTCATTTGCCTTCTTTTTCATTAATTTTTTTCTAGTCGATTCAGACTGCATTGTGGAATATGTACAAACAAATTGCAATATAAAAGTTAAAAGGTTATCTTTTCTGTCTGCTTATGAAGTTTTATTTTGTTATAACTATTCTCTCATCTTATTTGATAACAAAAGGGCAATAATATATTTTTAAAATCTTTAGTTTTTCATGGATTTCACATTACTAAATGTTTTACACACACACACACACACACATACATATATAAACTCAAGAAAAGACAGATGAGTTCGTTGTAGATGGTCAACTTCAGGTTAATTCTTAAGTATCGGCATTTCCCTTCTCTTAGTTACAATGAAAAATGCAACATATAATTCTGGCCAAAATTAATACTATAACAATTGCTATTATTTTGTTTAAATAATTTGCTCTGTTTGAGAGAGAGAGAGAGAGAGAGAGAGAGAGAAAGGCTGTCTCTGCACCACTCAAAAGAAAGTACTTGTGTATTGCTGTTGTATAGCAATATAAATATGCTATACAGTATTGTTAGCAATTATGTGAAAGTTAGGTGAAATCTGTTTTAAAATGTAAACTTTGTGAACGGACATCTTTAAAACCTTCTGCTGGCATTCTTTCAGGTAACATAAGATTAACGCCATGTTAACACTACCGTTTGATGAGTCTGTTGTAATGTCAGAGTCCCAGATGTGCCGAAAGTTTTCCAGAGAAAGTGAGGATCCAAAGCAAATCAAGAAACCAGAAAGCTTTGGAAAGCAGATTACACACCAAGGAAAAAGCATTAAAAGATTGACAGTGGAAGATACAGAAAAAGAGGAGGCGGAAGATGACCGAGAGGAAGAAGATGAAAATGGTTTACCCAGGAGGAGGGGCCTCCGTAAAAAAAAGACGACCAAGATGAGAATGGAGAGGGTCAAATTCAGGCGTCAGGAAGCCAACGCAAGAGAACGGAACAGAATGCATGGTCTCAATGACGCGCTGGACAATTTAAGGAAAGTGGTACCTTGTTATTCCAAAACACAAAAACTGTCTAAAATAGAAACTCTGAGACTTGCCAAAAATTATATATGGGCTCTTTCAGAAATCTTACGAATTGGCAAGAGGCCTGACCTGCTGACATTTGTTCAAAACTTGTGCAAAGGTCTCTCCCAGCCAACGACAAACTTGGTGGCGGGATGCCTACAGCTGAACGCCCGAAGTTTCTTGATGGGTCAGGCGGGGGAAACTGCCCATCATGCCAGATCTCCTTACACCACCTTCTACCCACCCTATCACAGCCCAGAGCTGAGCACTCCTCCGGGCCATGGAACTCTTGACAATTCCAAGTCCATGAAACCCTACAATTACTGCAGCGCTTACGAGTCCTTCTACGAAAGCACTTCTCCTGAATGTGCCAGCCCACAGTTTGAAGGTCCCTTAAGTCCTCCCCCAATTAACTATAATGGGATATTTTCCCTCAAGCAAGAAGAAGCTTTGGACTATGGCAAAAACTACAATTATGGCATGCATTATTGTGCAGTGCCACCCAGGGGTCCCCTGGGGCAGAGTTCCGTATTCAGGTTGCCTACCGAGAGCCACTTCCCTTACGACCTCCATCTGCGCAGCCAGTCGCTCACCATGCAAGATGAATTAAATGCAGTTTTTCATAATTAATGAGGAAAGTGAAAATAAACAGTGGTCATTCACCTCTCCCTCTAATTAAGATAAAGCAGACGCCTGTGCCCCGTCTAATCGGAGCAACTCTATTGAAACGGGGGGGGGGGGGATACAAATGTGTTTGCTAGTTTCTAAACCGTGTCAACTATTGTGGGGCATTTTATTTTCAATGTAACAACAATATCGATAACGATAAATAATTTTACTTATTACTATTTAATTCCAACTGGATTTTGGTCAGCACTGTGAGGTTTTGTTTTAACTGGGTTTTTAAGGGTATTTCCTCCCCTCCCCCTTCCTCCCCTATTGGTTTGATTTTGTTGAGCAGTGTGTCTAAATAAAACTGTTGAGCTAAGAAAATGCGCACTGTATAAAGTCTGCAGCAGTATTTTGATTGTACAGTAACTATACCAATGCATGCTATTCAAATCGGATGAGTAAAATGATGTATTAATAATAATTAGAAATAATGTGTAACGGGGAAGAGGTGAATTTATAAACTCTCCAGATTTTGTTTTTTTAAAGAAAAACTGTCGCGAGCATCACGGGATGCAGTGGAGATGGTGCAGCAATATTTAAACTATGCAAAAAAAATCAAAAGAAAGTGCATCTAAATCCAATGAGTGGTAATCATTGGCAATTATTCAGATTAAAATTTGAAACATTTGCTGGCAGGGGCAACCTATTATTTTCAAAGGTTACATCACCGTTTTTGCATCCATCAGTTTAATATAAAAATTATATGATCTCTGCACTTCTTTTGTATTATATGCCTTCACATGTAAAGTTTGTTAGAATGTACAATGTTTTTTTCCACTATTTACTTTAAATGCAATTAAACATAGATGTTTTCAGTCATCTCGTCAACTATGAAATAATGTGACATCCTAATAAGAGGATATCTTTATAGGACATTGACCACCTGGTTTTCCATGTAATATTCTATTAATGTTCTGTTCAGATTCTAAGGTGATACTGATCAGCTAGTTCAACTGAATAAATATCCCCCAAGTAAATGTGTTTAGGACTGGAGTAACAAGTTTCAACTCCAGAGGTAAATAAAATCAGGGTTAACTCAATTTTAATTTAAATTGGTACATTAGAATTGTAGAGAAAACTGGATTGACCATGTGATACGAAAATGTTCACATGGGTACACTCCACCAAGCAACACTCCTGAGCAACCTCTGTTAATGATGTCTCCGCTGAGTTGTAATAAATTTGCAGATTAAGGATTAGGAGTACAGTAAATTGTCCCTTTAAAATGATCATTTCTGATATTATTTTTCCTATGGTCAAGGACATTTTAAAAACTGCATGAATGAAATCTTTTTTAAAAAATATATATATATCCAGATTACTTTCTACAAATATCCAGTGGAGGCTAGGTAAACATCTATCACTTGCTAATTTTAGTTTTGAACAGTTTGCAGGACAGAAGGGGGTTCATAAAAAGCAGCACGAGGAGAGTGTGTAAAGAAAATATTTCCCTAATCGTTGCCTTGTGCCAGACACGAGTTTTTGAAAAAAACAAATTCCTTAAATTTTGTGTCACTTTCAACCTATTTGTGCCACCAAAACACATTAATCAGGAAGCTCATGCCATGGATTTCCAGAAAGCTGTTGTCTAAATAAATAGGCTTATGATTACGTTCCTTATTTCTTTAGCTAGCATTTTAACCTCAAAAGAATAATAATAAAGAATTCTACTGCAATAACAGCCTCAAGAACACAAGCACATTTAGGTATTTCTCTGGGGTTATTTAAGAAATCGTACTATGCCTCATTTCTGTAATGCTCATATGTGGTTTCAGAGAAGGAATATATAATGCCGCTTTTCCACCCAGGAGAATCGTCTTCGGTGAAGTTGTGTGAGGATATCCAGATTTCATCTTGGAATGCAGCCTGTATGGCAGCCCACCAGGGACTCCATAAATCTCCTAGTTTTTTTTTGCTGGCTGCCTTGGATTGCAAAAACAGGACGACTGTCAAGCATCTGGCAGGCAATGCTACGTGGCTGGTATATTGCATCTGGCATGGTGGCTCGCAAGTTCCATTCCCCTGTAGGGAGGAGTCCCTACTCCTGTCACTTCCCCACTAAAATGCCTCTCTCCAAGCTGGTTCTTCTTTGCTCTGCTTGGGAGCTCAGCTCTTAATGTCTCATTCCTCAGCTCAGCATGTGAACCTGTGCCACTGAAAGGGATGGTGGGTTCCAAGCAAGCAATACAAAGCTCTACCTGTGATGTTGGCTCACCACGCAATGTTCCCTCTAAGCTGAGTTAGTGTGAGCTAGCTCACAGTTCTTTAGCCAACAGCTCACACATTTTTGTCTTAGCTCAGGAAGGATGGCTGCAGAGCAAAGTAATTTATGCAGCAGCCAAGTCGCTCGCTCACAACTTTAATGCCAGTAGCTCATGAAGTAGAATTTTTGCTCACAAGACTGCACAGCTTAGAGGGAACACTGCATCACCAGTGGTTCTTTTCACACATGCAAGGATGCTGCTGCAGCTAGCAATACGCACAGTGTAACAGGGCTGCAGGTTGAAGCATACAGCAAGAAAACGTACAAAACTAAACAGGGTGTCATTTGTTGGCTATCCCACCACTTAGGGTGGCCTGCCTGGCCTCGACCAGGGCACAGGACTTCTCCATTGTGGCTCTGGCTCTGTGGCATGGGCTCCCTGAAGAGGTGAGAGGGTCCCCCTCCTCTGGAGATCTTCAGAAAGCGCTGCAAGGCCTGCCTGTTTGCCAGGGCATCGGAGGGGGTTTTAAACAGCAAGCATCTTTTAAGGGGGAGAGGGATCTGGGGCTTGTTATTTTATCTTTGGTTTTAGCTGGGGATGTTTTAATTGCTATTGTAAGCCGCCTTGAACTAAGAGGAAAGGTAGGACATAAATGTTTAAATAACTTACTAAATAAATTCAGTTGGTGTTGGTCTGAAGCAGCAGAGAAAAGTTTGAGTCCAGTGGCACCTTTGTTGGTCTTAAAGGTGTTAATAAATAACCACCCACGGACTGGGGCCTTCCTGTTTCCTTCTCTACTTGCAGTCCATTGAGCCCCACCCCCAGCCCCAAATTTTGATCCTAGAGGTCAGCAGACCACCAGGAACAGCATCCAGGTAAAGTGGGGGGGAGGCCCTGCTGTGGGAGGGAGGAAACTGGTGGGAATTGCTGCCCTCTCTTCCAAAATCTTAAGCGCTATTAATTCTTGGGAACTGCAGGGTTGGAGAACCAGTTTGGTGTAGTGGTTAAGTGTGCAGACTCTAATCCGGGAGAACCAGGTTTGATTCCCCACTCCTCCACTTGCACCTGGCTGGATGACCTTGGGCAAGCCATAACTCTGGCACAGCTGTTCCTGAAAAAGAGCAGTTTCTGTCAGAGCTCTCTCAGCCCCACCTACCTCACAGGGTGTCTGTTGTGGGGAGGGGGAGGGAAAGGAGTTTGTAAGCCGCTCTGAGACCCCTTTGAGAGCGGGGTATAAATCCGATCTCTTCTTCTCCTATATGACCAACAATCTGGTAGTGTAAGGCAGACTCACGTGATCTTATTGTGCCTGGAAAGTTCAGTTTAAAGTCTCAACATGGAGGGAAATGGCTTGAAGAAAAAGAAACAATCTCACACACCTAAGGGATGGCCTGCATGACTGACTTGAAAGAGGGCAAGAACAAACTCACAGGTGGCTGTCCTCCAACAGAGGCAAGGACTGTGCAAAATGACTGATACCTCTACCTGGGTGTTGTCTAATGGCTGCTCTAATTCCTCAAATGATTGTTACAACATGAGACACCAACTTTTGTTTGAATCAGCCTTAAAAGAGTTCCTGTAGCCCTGACCTGGATAGCCCATGCAAGCCAAATCTTTTCGGATCTTGGAAGCTAAGCAGGGCCAACCCTGGTAAGTACTTGGACGGGAGACCTCCACAGAATACCAGAGCCAGGAGGCTGAGGAAGGCTATCAAGCCAATTCTCTGAACATTCTCCATCCCCCAGTAGGAGTCATCAGAGGTTGCCATGACTTCCAGGCACAGGCACGTGTGCACATACATACAAAACAAAAAAACAAAACAAACAAACAAAAAGAATCCCTGTAGTGGTTACATAAACAGTTGAATAAATCAGTTGTTATCATAATGCTTAGCATTTATTGTGCCTTTAAAGAGTTTAAAGCTCTGCTTGTACTTTTTCCCAGTATCCATACAACAACCCTTTAAGAAGGATGCCAGTAATTACTATTCCTCAATCACAGACTAAAGGAGAGAGCTGAATTTGAAAGATAAGGGTTTATTTCTGGTCAACCCTAGACTATTCTAATTTAAAAAATTTATATCCTGTTTTTTCTCCCTGATCAGGACCCGAAGCGAATTCATGGCTGACCTGAGACCTGAATCTACAGGTTCCCAGCCCAAACGACGAGCCACTGCAGTAGCATTCAGTGTCGCAAAATTACTGCTCGTGTAGCTTTTAAAAAAGGAGAAAATGCAAGGCAATCCCTGTCCTAAAATGGTTCTTTTAAATTCTGAGAGGCCCAGGATCTAAAAGCTTGCTTGAGTCTTCCTCCGCCTCCTCATCCTCCTCCCTTGCTGTACCCTGTGATAATGTCATTTTTCCCTAGTTGGGGGGAAAAGAAACCAGACAAGCATATTGTCTTTTCTATTTGACACCACAACGTAATACAGCCGTGTGTTAAGGTTTCACGTCTCAGGCTTGATAAGGTGAAGGGGGAACCAGTCTTGGATTCATTTGCAAAGTACAGAGAGAAGACGGTGCCGACCTCACGGTCCTGTCTAATTGTCTTCTTGCTGCCCACTGCGGGGTCGTCTCCTCTTCTCTGTACACCAGACATTGCCTATTCCAGCAACTAGAAATAGGATTCTCCCATCCTGTTGTGGTTTTTGGACCTCAAGTTAGTGAGATTATGGGGAGGGGAGTTGGCATCACTTCCTGCCAGAAAGTCAGTGGTCGTAGGGTTGCCAGCCTCCATGTGGGGCCTGCAGTGGCT